CTCCCCCCTCGCTCTTTTTCTTTCTCATCATGTGTGGTCCTGTTGAGGTAGCTTAAGTAATCGATTAATTTCAAGTTTGGTGAACACGAATGTGGTCCAAGTGCATTTGGCTTTCATTTTATTCATCATCACGACGATCGTCCATGAAAGTTGGATATCTTATGAAACGTGCAGCTACGAATGCATCCTTCATGATAATACGACGTAAACGTGAAAAGAAAAGAGAGAGAAAGAGAGGGAAAGGGAAAGGGAGAGAGAGAGAGAGAGAGAGAGAGAGAGAGAGAGAGAAATAAAACTATTAATTCAATTTTGTCTTTTTTTCTGAATGCATCACCGCGTTTAGAATCGGTGAAGTTCTCTTCCTTGATTATCTTTTTTTATATTAAAGATCGAGATAACGATACTATCAGTAGACATGAGGATTTTCGAGTTAGATAAGCGTATAAATAATATATCTGTGGGAACTTTAGAAAATTATAGAATATATTGTAATATATATAAATTATAAATGAAAAAAATAATAAAAAAATGTACAATAATACGATTACGATAACGACTTTATCGACAGACGTAAGAATCTTGTGATTAAATAAAAGTATAAGTAATATTCATTATATCAGTAGAAATGTTAGAAAATTATGATAATGGTATAAAAAAATTATTACTAATAAGATTAAGATCAATAGTTTGAACTAATAAATTTTCAGATAAAGATATAAATATTTATTATAGTTATAAAACATTTGAAATTTATCAGCTATAAATTTACAAATTTAGAAATTAAGACAAAAAAAAATTGAATGCACTAATACAAAGCAAAAAAGTATTGTTTAAAAATAATATATTTTCAGTTATAAGATAGAAAAGTAATAATGACAAGCTGCTAAGGCACGACGTGTTCAAATCGATTCTTCTTCGTTATGGAAAAAATACTGGTTAAAAATAAACCATTATACAAATGATGGAATATAATATCGCAAGGATGATTCCGTTAAAGTCGGCATTCACGATGTAGCATGATGATGTTATTTCTCGTGACATTTAATAAACCGCAACGTGGCTCATATCGTCGTATCCATTAAAACTGTCCTTTTCGGCGAATATTTACAGTTAATTTTACGAAAAGGTCTATCAATCTAGCCCGATTATCATCAACTCTAATAAAATATATATTCAATCGACTAATGAATTTGTCGAACTAATCAACATTGTTATTGTTGTTGTTGTATCATCTCAGCATACGTTACAATGTCTCACATCTTAGAGAAAGGAAGAGAGGGCGTCTGGTCTACTCTAACAATAATTAATAATGCAAAGGATAATAAATTAATAATAATAGGTATATAAAGTATCAAGATACTCTCACGAGTATCTTACATTTTACATTACCATGTCTCTCTGAATTCTAATTTCGTTAAAAAAAGAAAACAAAAGAAAAAACTTTTAATGTTACCACGACAACAATGATAATTTAGAAGGTAACTATAATGAGTTACACGCCGCTACACAATCATTTGAGAATGGGAATAAATGTTTCTTGTGATTTCTCTAAAAAGAACTAACTTTTTATTCTAATTATATATTTCTCTACTATATAAATTTCTAATTATATATTTATCTACTATATAAACATATATATATCAGTATAAAAGCACATGTAATTGAGATATTCAATGTTCCGCTAGACTCTTTCGAAAACGAGTTATTCTTGAATGAACGTACTAACTCGTATCTTTATTTCATTGAAAGCGAATAAATGTTGATTGAGAGAGAGAGAGAGAGAGAGAGAGAGAGAGAGAGAGAGAGAGAGAGAGAGAGAGAGAGAGAGAGAGAAATAGGCTTGATAAATAGGATGAATTAATAACATGAGATGAAGGACGATATTCAAGGAAAATTTCAATATCAAATGGATACTATTCAATTATACTATACAAGATCATATTTATCTTAGTGATGTCATTCTCATACCATCATGATTATAATAATCACACGCACATACGATGCGTGTCATATCATGATCATCACTATTGGAATCAACGTACAAGATTTGTAAATACATGCATCATTATCTTTCCTTCGTTGATTTACGATAGATAGTAATCTGTACAAAAAAGTATGATTTTTTTCATTTAAAATAATCAAGCCATTGAAACTTTTTTCATTTAAAATAATCAAGCCATTGAGACTGTGTCCGAGGCAACATGATCATCTACATACGTCTATCGACGAGAGAAGCCGTGAATTGCATTTTTTTTTTGCATGAGACTAAATCTCGTTGTGGTATCGAATAAATCGTCAGATCTTAACGGTATTGAACGGATATACGTTTGTTGTGTTACTACGAACAGATCTATCTGCGGTCAAGGAAGTAAAGAAAGGAAGAGAAAACGAAGCGAGCAAACTTGCACGATACATGGAAGGGTAACGAACGAACGAACGAACGAACGAACGAACGAACGAACGAACGAACGAATGAACGAATGAACTATCGAACGAACGAACGAACTATCGAACGAACGAACGAACGAATTATCGAACGAACGAACGAACGAACGAACTATCGAACCGGGTGCCATAAAACAACTAATACGATTACCTTAATGGAGATGGACGGTAGAAGTTGGAAACAATCGGATAAATTGACGGAAACTCAACGAAATTATAGAAAAAGAAAAATAAGAAGAGATTATTGAATTGTTTGCAATAAAAGATTCTATTGAAAGCGTATCTATTCGAGCGTGGAAATATATATTCGACTTCGAATTCGATATCTCATCTCGACTCATTGTAATTATTTATCTGATAACAAAATAATGAATCTCTCATACTATTATATATATATATATATATATATATATATATATATATATATATATGTATGTATGTACGTATGTTATAGTAAGTTCTAATGATAATTCATGAGTCATATAATTTATATATGATTAGTTAAAGATATGTAAATAATAATTCCTAAATCATGCCACTGTACTAATTTAATTTTTACAATAATAAAATAAAGTTATTATAAATAATTATAACCGATTTATGATAAGCTAAATTACATGGAAATTAATGCGTCTAATATTTAAAATTTGCCTATCTAATTTACTTTTTATAATAATTACAACATATATTTTTAATATATTACAAATGAGAAACGAGAAATCTTGTTTAATAATCCTGCATAAATATGCAGAAATATGCATATTTATTTAAAAATTGCGAGGTAATGGTTACTTTTATTACAGTAGGAAGTATGTGATATCTGAAAATTTATATGATAAACAAAATGTATTTAGTGCTATAATAATAAATCATTGAAAAATGCCTGTCTCAGTACGTTTTCCATACAATTTTATCCCATCTTCAATGCGTTAAGATAATTGCTAAATATATTCTATGAAAAATCTACTTTCATGAAAATATAAAAATGTAAAATAAAATTGTACAGTTAGATTATTGCCAATAACGTAAATTGATGAAAACATAACATTGATCATCTCTTTATTATCACGTACGAAATAAGATATTATCTATACAATTTTTTTGTCTACATTTTGTTTCTTCCTTCACTTTGATATATCTTTATATAATATTGGATATACTATACATTTAATAAAAAAAATTGATGAATCATACACATACACACAAAGAAAGAGAGAGAGAGAGAGAGAGAGAGAGAGAGAGAGAGAGAGAGAGAGAGAGAAAGAGAGAGAGAAAAAACGTAAATCTGTTCGTAAAATCGTGTTACAAAAAAAAAAACGGAAAAAAGCAAAAGAGTAAATAGATATTATGTCGATTGTGATAATAAATCTTCGGTGAATGGCGACGATTGGATTCGACGAATCATTCGGTTAGAAACGTAAAGCCTTCCAAGCGTTGAGAAATTCCAAGTAGATTCTCTTCTCTACTTTAGGTGTGCGTGCATCAATCAAATTTTGTTCCATGGTTCCATTTTCATAGAAGAGAGAGAAGAGATATATACATATATACATATGTACATATGTATATATGTACATATGTACATATATATATATGTACATATATATATATATATATATATAGAGAGAGAGAGAGAGAGAGAGTCTATCATACACACACATAGAGCATACTATACGACACGACCCACATTTAGCAGGTAGATAGTAAAAGTCAGAGTTCCTCCTAGTGAAACCTACAATGTACAGTACACAAGCAGCAGTAAATGCGTGCGGCGTGCGTGTGCGTGCGCGCGCGCGCATGCATGTAATCTAGAACGTAGATTTTTTTTCTTTCTTTTCTCTTCTTTTTCTTCAAAGAATCATCTTTATCCTTTTTTCTTTATCGCTTTTAACGAGAAAAATTATATGGAATGGAATAATGATATCAGATTAATGAGCCAAATTCTTGGTTCATTATAATAAACTTTCTAATCGAGGATCAAGAAATTTCTATAGCAGTAGAAGCAACCTGTTCGATCGATCGATGTGTATTCTTCATAAATGACAAAAAAAGAGAAGAATAAAATATCATCGATAGAGCTGATGAATATTTTAATATTAATTCGATGGAAAAGAAAGATATTTAAAAACAAGTGCGTCCTCAATCGAGTTTGAATTTATGTATTTCCTCTGTCTGTATGTATGCTGTCTGTCTGTCTGGTGTGTTGTGTGTGTGTGTGTGTGTGTGTATGCGCATACACCCAGTACGGTAATATATAGTCATTCGTTGTTTTATGCCATTCATAAGATTTCAAAACATTGAATTGTGTTTATTATAACAATACGTCAGTATATATGAAGTTCCTTTCGTTTTATCGCACAAATCATTGACTTTCTTTTTTATCATGACGACGTTCGATCGTTTCTATCGTAACATCATTAGAGTTAAAAAAGAAAGAAAGAAAGAAAGAAAGAAAGAATTACGAAAGAGTTTTGAACAGAATTTTGCACGTTCTATCGATCGACGAAAAAGAAAAAGTAATAATAAGTAAATAAATAAATAATTTTGTTAAAGCTCACCTCTAAACAGCAGGAACGAAGTTAGGCGTGTATGTTCTTTCGTCCAATATTAACGACGCAGGAGAAGGATAAAATGAACCGGCCAAATCCCTTCGTTTTCTTCGTCGACGACGAGATGAAGAAAAGACAAACAACGGTCGTAGGCAGAACAAAAATGGATGTCGTCCGTTTTTTTCTCCCGAATCGGCGTATGGCCAGGTGTCGAAAAAACGTTAAACTTACGAGCGTACGCACGGTAAACAAGTCAGCGCGTTCCAATTCCACCGACTGACGAACGCGATACGTCTCCGTCGAAACCGCGAGACGACGCCGTTAGGCGGCCACTACCCATGCACGCGCGATTTTCAAATAGTCCCACGTTACTCCGCTCTCTTCTCGATATTCGAGAGAGCCACTAATCGTTTCTCTCTCTCACTCTCTTGTTTTTTTTATTCTTTTCTCGTTTCAACTATACATATACTTGTCCACCTCTTCCTCCTTTTCGACGTCTCTCAGATTCGATATACAATTGAAATGTCTTCTTTCGTTGAAAATATCAACGTAAAAAGTGATTGTCTTTATTAACGAGAAGAAATGAGCCAGAAGTTGCACTTACATTTAGACTTTTAAACTCCGTAAACACGCTGGAACTGCTTTCGATGTGTTCTTACGCGCGAGTCAACATGGCCGAATTGGAAAACTCGAGGTTTCTCTTATGACGCAATTAAACGAGCACGTCTCCCCTCCACTATCCTATCACGAAACGCGCCGCGCACTTTCGTACGCATTTTCTCCGTCAGGCGACACCACAGGAGGGGCTATATTTCAGTAGGTATGGCAGAAAGAGAGAAAAAGAGAGAGAGAGGGAGATTTTGATTGAACTTTGTTTCCCGCCAATTCGTCGCATGCAAATATCGTATAAAAATAAATTAACTTTGTTATAAAGTTTTGATTTACGTAATTGTTTATTGTTCAACTTATGATTACTGTTTATTTTTATTTATTACAATATATGAGATTATTACATGTAATCTTTTCTGATAGAATTTTACTGATAAGAATTCATAGAATCGAAATCTTTTCGTTTGGTAAATTAAAAATTCTCAAAATTCCTTTGATTTTGCGATAGTGTAGTAAAGAAGAGCCTGCTTTTATCATTTTCTGTAAACTACGTCAATTTCAGCTTATTTTCTTATCCAAAAGTATCCTCGTTTTCCGTTACCATTGCAAAATTAGACGTGAATGTTGGTTGTATTTATTTTAACAAGCATACCAATATAATGATATTAATAGGAACTACAAGCCTTACAAGAATTTAAGTCAGTCTTATAGTAATAAAATATATGTAATTTCATATTTATTGAAAAAATTAAAATTATAAAACGTTATATATTACGTAATTAACATAATAAAATAATGGTACGTCTTTTACAGTATCTCTTTCCACCAATCATAATATGAATACAAATTACTAGAATATCGTGTATACTGAAATTGTTGCTTTTCTCGTTCGAGTTCGATGTAACATTAACTTTTGATTATAATCAGACAAGTAGGAGGGATATTCGATTGTTTACAAATCTACGTGGCGATAACACTTCGATGTTAAGTACAATACGTCAATCTATTATCAATAATTTTTTATATATTTATGTAACATATTTATGGATATATGAAATCTACGATGTATAAGTCATGGCAATAAAAAAATTTGAATTTATAAATATATCTTCTTAACCGTTTATCTAATGATTGAAGTATCAAAATATTGATGATAATAGAATATCTTCGTTGTTATATCCAACACAGCGTGATGTCAATGTTATATAACTTTGTAACGAATAGTGATATTCAATACTTTTATATAGAGTATATCATTAACCTCGACGAAGTAAGACGTATTCATTGAAGATTAAAGGTAGGGTAAAGTAATTTTTCTCTCTATCTAACAATTCTACTTTCTCGACTTTATTTTGCTATTTTTTACGCAATAAAAGATAAAACACTGCTATCTACTAATGATTTTTACAATATGGACTTCTTTCTTTTATCTGCAGCACAAGTAAAATTTAACTTGCTATAGCATTAAGTTTCTGTATAAATTGGTAAATAAGTGCTTCAACATTGAATATTATTAATTTTTTTTAGATTTTATTAGAGAACGTAATTGGTAATTATATTTAGTGAAATCTATATATTATTCTATCTGTTTTGAAGTAGCATTATTTCTACAACATTGTTACTAATTTTATAGTATATTTATAGTTATATCGTTTTCTAAATTCTTATTCACATATAAAAGTTGTCAACTATTTTTGTAAAGATATTTTATCTTTGCATATTTATTTATGATATAACAAATATCTATCAATTTGGTCTTTATTATATAATTATAAAGTAGAGTAAAGAATTGATAAATAATATGCAGCATACCACAAAAGCAAAATGGCAAATCAGTGTTGGAATGTACTGGTAACGGGTGGTGCTGGTTATATCGGTTCTCATACTGTTTTGGAACTACTACAAGCCAATTTTCAGGTGGTGGTAATAGACAACCTTAGTAATGCCTATAAAGGTGAGGTATAATTGAATGCATTGTTTCATCATGTATATATATAATTTATATTTAATATGAAAGTGCATGTTACAAAATTGATGGCACTATTCTTCCCTCCTTTATAAATGCTTTTATTTGTTCTTATATTTTATGTAATATGTATTATATTGTGAGATTAATACATTTAAAAACATACATTACATATCTAACATTCTTATACATTTATAGCAAGTAATGAAGAAAAACCAGAATCTCTTATAAGAGTTGAGAAACTAATAAATAAAAAGGTTAAATTTATAAATTGTGATATAACTAGAATAAGTGAATTGAAGGATGTATTTCAAAAGGTAAGATTTATTTTGAATTATTACTGAATTAATAATGATTCTGAAACGTAAATTTTATTATAGCATACTTTCCATTGCGTCATACATTTTGCTGCATTGAAAGCAGTCGGTGAATCTTGTGAAAAGCCTCTAGAATACTATGAAGTCAATGTTGGGGGTACTTTAAATTTGTTGAACGTAATGAGAGAACATAATGTAAAACGCTTTATATACTCTAGTAGTGCTACTGTATATGGTGTTCCGGAAAAACTTCCGTTAATAGAGACTATGAATACTGGAAATTGCACAAATCCATATGGAAGAACGAAATATATGGTTGAAGAAATTTTGAAAGATCTTTGCTTATCTGACAAGGTATAAAATAGACTTTAAGTATTTATATTTATGAAATTATACAAATTTTTAAACAAATTCATGCATTTTTAGGTATGGTCAGTCATATCTCTCAGATACTTTAATCCAGTAGGTGCACATCCCTCAGGGCAAATTGGAGAGGATCCTAATGGTATTCCAAATAATTTAATGCCTTTTATTGCTCAAGTTTCAGTTGGAAAAAGAAAATCATTAAGTGTGTATGGTAATGATTATGATACTCCCGATGGGACGGGTAAGTAAAAGATATGTATATTAAGAACAGGGGAAACATAATTAAATAATACTTTAGTAAACATCACAATGGCTTTCCGATTCGAAATCTAATAATTAATTGTATTATTCACGTTTCTTTTTCCAATGAAGGTGTTCGAGATTATATACATATTATGGATTTAGCTGATGGCCATGTTAAAGCAATGATATATCAGAAAAATGTTAATCCAACCGGATTTAAACCTATAAACTTAGGTACTGGTAATGGATATTCTGTTATGGAAGTTATACATGCATTTGAAAAAGCATCAGGAAAGAAGATACCATATGAGATAGTAGGACGTAGACCTGGTGATATATCTGCAAGTTATGCTAATGCAAATATAGCAATTGAAGAGCTGAATTGGCGTGCTATAAAAAATATAGATGACATGTGTAAGTATAATTATACTTTTCTACAATCTGATACACGTACGAATTGTACAATATTTCAAAATTTATCATAGGTGCGGATACGTGGAAATGGCAGCAAAGTAATCCAAATGGTTACAAATCTACTTAACGTGTATATTAACATGCTATCATGTAAATAATAACTAGTATAAATATTTTGTTTTTACATATTTATAAGAGTACTAGTAATATGAAATGTTGGTGGTGTATAGTTACCAAAGTTTAGACCAAAGCCTAAGGAGAGAACATATCTGTCATACATCTTGTTATAAAAATTTAGATAAATATTCTAAAAATCAGTTGATCAGTTTATTATTCTAATTTGATTTAATATTTCGATATATTCGGTAGGTTTATGTTATAAGTGCAATGTCAATGTCATTCCTAGTTCCTAGTGATAATAAATATGTTTGTTCCTTCTATTTTACTTCTAAGTTTAGCAATGTTTATATTTGTTGTACAAATATCAAAAGTAAAGTTCAAAATTGTGTGCCATACATTATTACATTACAACGGTTTTTTGGTTTTTTATGAACTTCTATATTTAAGAACAAAGATTATAAATATATTATTCACACACATATGTTTATTATGTATTGTTATCAAGGTTCAATAAAACGTTTAAAAAGTTAAAAAGAATTACTTATTATACAATTATCTTGTAATAAAGGATATGTAAATCTTTATAAATATGATCTTGAATGCTCAATATGTTTAATCGATTATTGAAACTTTTGCAACTGTCAATGGTCCACGTCATATCTGTGGAATAGTTCATTAATGATTCAATATGTGTCTACGAAGTAGTTCGTCAATGATTCACAGTATGCTACGGAGTAGTTCTACAATAATCCGCAATGTGTTTACGGATTAGTTACCTAATGACTCGCAGCATATCTATGGAGTAGTTACTCAATGATTCGCAGCTTGACTACGGAATAGTACGTCAATGATTTATACATATCTACGGAGAAGTACATTAATATACGAGTTTCGATCGAACTTTTTCGTAGACAAACTGTTTGTGAAATTATACGTGATAAAACTAAATAAAAATGTATAGAAGCAATGATTAATTATACAAACATTGTTGGAAATTATTAGAAAAACTATAATCATTGATATTATTAATTACATCGAGTAATTTAAAAATAATTTAATATTATCAAGGTACATTTTTATCGATGATAATCTTCATATAAATAATTATTGCGCGAAATGATCAATTGTAATTATCGAATTATTAATGTAATTATTTTTAGAAATATAAATAATAACGAAGATCGTAGAATTTAAAAACTCAATCTTTAGATCTTGAGATTTCACGTGAGATAAATTACAATTCGGAGTACATGAAAGGAAAGAAAGACCGCCATAAATAGGCGCGCGTGAAATCTCCTGTTCCTTTTCTGGACCGGTAAAGGAGGCTGCATTAACGGTGCACGGATAGTGTCCTCGCATTTGCCGACGTTGTCGTTGAACATCAAATGCGACCGAGTTCTGCGTAGACGAGGCGTAAAAGTCAATATACTTGGTCTTCCTCTTGTGATGGACGACAAGAGCCAATGTTTCGGTCTATAGGAAGACGTTTCTTAGAAAATGACTTTTCAACTAACTAGGTACTTGACTATTTTCAAACAAGTTCTAAGTACAGAATACGTTTTACATTTTACGATTATGGACCAATTATATAACGCAATGTAATTAACTATTAATACTTATATATTTATATTTTTTGAGTCTTATTTTTATTATATTTTGCCATAAAGTTAATTGTTAATTCATATCTGAAAATTAATGTTATATAAAACCAATATTATACGATAATAATATAATTTTATATATAATATAAATGTTAGGAAATATTAATTATTATATAAAATATATTATTAAAATTAAAAAAAAGTATAAAGTCAGTCCAATTAAAATACGAGTCACATTTATATCATACAATACTTCATGATCTAACATAGTTATATAAAAGTTTAAGTTATATTATATACGTTTAACATTATATCATTTTTATTCAGAACAAAAATATATAATTAATTTATACAGCGTTGAATGTATAAAAATGTAGATTAAATTATCATCCTATTGTGAAATGTATTTCGTAATACGGTATTATGATACTGTATTATAAATTTATATTATATTATAAAATTCATATTATATAATTTTTATTTTAACAAAAAAAGAAAAAAGAAAAATTCAGTTATAAAGTGTTAAAAATAATTTGTCACATAATCCTATCGTTGCCTAGATCATAATTAGATATTAGAAATTAAATTGTTATAAAAGTGTTCAATTTACAAGAAACATCGTTAGATGAGAAATCTAACATAATGTTTCCAACCTGTTAATCCTCGAAGTACGTTGGTGACGAGATCGCCATAGCTTGACCGTTTCGGGAAATGTAATTTTTGCTGTAGTCGACCTGTTAGTCGAGATCACGTTACCGGCTAAGTTAACAAGGTCATTGCCTGGCTATCGAGCTCGATAAGAGCTGAGTTTTACGCAATGTTTAAAACGAACGTCAGGAAGTATCTATGATAAAATTTTACATGGCATGTAATATTATAAATTATGTTATCGATCCACGAGCACGATAAGTAAGTCACGAAAAGATTTTTCAAAGTTCAATCATACCTGCGTAAAATAATTTATAAGAAGGAAGCCGTATTACGAACAAACGAAGGAAACTGGTAATAGGCGCGGACTGTAAAAATAAATAACAGAGACTACGATTACGGTTAATAATCGTACTTGATCATTCTTATTTATTTATATTGTTAAGTTTTATTTCTTTGATCGGAATACACTATGGGTTTGATCGTAACTGTTCTCGTAAAATTGAGAGAATGTAAAAAAGGAAGAAAATAAGAAAAAGAGAGAGAGAGAGAGAGAGAGAGAGAGGGAAAGATAAATAGATAGATAGAAAGAGAGAGAGAGAGAGAGAGAGAGAAAGAGAGAGAGAAAACGCGAAGCTAGAAGGAAATGCAAACAGCTAGGACACTCTGGAATTAATCCGGAAGGCGGTCTTTGGTTGAGTTCCCACGCGTAGACACGCGATTAGCTTGTTCGCGTGTTCCATGAGAAAAAGAGAGAGAGAGAGAGAGAGAGAGAGAGAGAGAGAGAGAGAGAGAGAGAGAGAGATCGGAATATCCGATAATGATTTTTTGTTTTCCTATGATAAATCAGATAACCAAGAATAATCGTGTCAATGAAGTACATAAGAATATTAGAAGTTTGCTAAGTATGTAGGTGCAGTCTCTCTTAGAACATGATAGATTCCGTGACTGTTAATAAAAAGGAGACGTTTTAATCCGGTTTTATCGTCAAGGTGTCGATCGAATCACTTACGAACTACCACTTTCGCAGAAGGCGTAAGCAATATACTATTATTTTTTTTATGTTTTTATTTGTATTTTCCTTTTTTTCTTTTTTTTTTTATTCTCGATTATCTTAGCTCTCCTATTGAAGAATTATAGATAAAATAATTCGTAAGCAAATGAGTATATTTATTAAATATTTCATATCATAAAGCAGAAGATTAATAATAATAATAAAATAATTGGCGAATAATAGAAGAGAGGATCAATTTCAAATATGATTTTATATTGATCATTCAAGTTTTACTTTATATCTTATGCTTAAATCCTCTATAATTTAATTTTATTCGTCTTTATTCGAAATAACTATATGATGTGAAATTTATTTAAATTATGTTATAATACTATAGTAGCATAAGTATAACTTATACTTAGCAAACATAAACCTTATATCTTTTTAATATTTTGGAGAAAAAATATTTAATTTAAAATACTATACCCTTTGAAACTTTTTACGAAATACGTAGACATGAGAGATATGTATGTTAAATATATTTTTGCATTGATCACTCAAGTTTTATTTTGTATTTTATCTTTTAACCATTTGTTATTTAATTTTGTTTGTGTTTAACAAACACCGTGTGATCTGAAATTTATTTAAATTATGTTATACTACATGTATATTTGTGTTATAACATGTAATTATATCAATAAAACTATACCAGCATAAATGTAACTTATACTTAGCGAAGATCAACCTTCTGTCTTTTTAGTATTTTTGAGAAAAGGAAAAAGGAAAATACTTAATTTGAAATGCTTAAAAAACTTTTTGAAAAGCCTTTAAATTTGTTTACAAAATGCGTAAATATGAGAGATCAATGTTAAATACAAATATTTCATTTATATAAGTACACTCTTATTAATTTTTATTTGCACTAAAATGCAAATTAATAATAATAAAATTTGATAATGATAAATTAAAATAAATTAAAGTAAATTATGTAAATTAATAATAATAATAAAAGTAATTAAAAATAATATAGTAAAATGCAAAGTAAATTACATAAGTTAATATTTTAAAAGAATTTTGAATGTGAAAAATTGAAATTTAATTTTTTCGACATTTTACTATATTAATTACTTGCCCTTAACTAAAACGTTTGATTTAAAAATGTACGCAGATCTGTCCTTTTGTCAGAGGGAAGAAAACATTCGGAGTAAGTTGGCGAGATTTCTCAACGAAGAGATCAAAGGTCACGAAAGTAGTTTAGCCAGTACGCCGTTGTCAATATCCCGGTCCTCTTATTGCATTTGCTATTGGCGTGTTTTACGAGTTTACCCTGTATGGTCGTGAACACAGGACAACTGCGCCATGCCACCGTTCTTTCGCAATGGTAAAATGTTTATTTCATGCATGGAAATCCGACGAGTCCTTTCTCACGCCGTTTAAGCCGGCTTAACTCACTTTGCCTTCTACGAATTCGCATCATTTCTTTCGTATTATTTTTTTCCTACGAAATAAGGGTATATCAAATTTTCTGACACCTTTTGTTATAAAATAGGATTAGAAAAGAGATACACAAGGGTATTTCGAATTTGTAATTTTTAACATTAGAACTAACAAAACCATAAGAATGACGGATTTTAAATTTATTCCTTTCACTCCTTTACAATTACCATGATTATTATAATAATTTTATAATGTATTAAATGGAATTTGTGTTCGTTCGTTCATTATTGTAAAGTATAATAAATTAAAAATAATAACGAATAAAGTATTCTTTTTTCTTTTTTTCTTCAAATTGATATATGTGAATTTTTTTAATATAATTTTAATGTTAATAAAATTCAAAGGTGAAGGAAAGAAAGAAAGAAAGAAAGAAATATAAATTTTTATAAACATTATTATGCAAAGATTTTATTGTGTAAATTATTTAAACGTCGGATAACTTTCAAATTGATGTAGGAAATAGAATTGATTCGAGATAAATCTTTAAGTATTTCAAGAATGTATAAAAAATATACAAAATATATGTGATTCTATGAGAAACCAGTTTGGAGGGACATATGCGTTAACCAATAAGAAAACGTATTCACTTGCATCAATACCTACATTGGTATTGTCATATGATTTATCTTGGAGTGCAAAATAGAATTTTTATTATTATAAACTTTATAGATTCATAAATTTTATAAATTTATAATATAGTTATATATTTTATAAATTTAGTTTTATTATAAATTTAT